TGTGTGTGTGTGTGTGTGTGTGTGTGTGTGTGTGTGTGTGTGTGTGTGTTGTGGTGTGTGTGTGTGTGTGGTGTGTGTGTGTGTGTGTGTGTGTGTGAGATATATATATATATATCATACAAGGAGCTTTTACATAGTGTTATACATAGGATAGTTTTCCTCTCTCTTTTTGTAAGAAACATTTCAGTAAGACAATACTAATAAATCACATAGCTCAGCCAAAAATAAAGAAAAATAAATTCATCTGCTATCTGTACATATATGTTAACAATTTTCAATATAACAGTACAATGAACATGTCCAAATCTACATAACATTTTTAAACAGTTCCAATTGTCATCATTTTACCAACTAAATAACATTTACTAATGATGGAAGAAACACATGGTTTTGATAACATGTAACTGCTGTCATTGTGTATATTGTTATGATCATATTAAAAAGAAGAAAAGAAAAGAGAAATAAACATGATTTATGGAATTACAACAGGACTAAATTACTCTAATTATGTGACAAACAAATACATATTTCTTATATCACCAAGAGGTTAAAATAGAACAATCATCACATAAATACCTCTTCCTCCTACACATAAGAAATACAATATCAATATATAAAAAAGAGTAAAAGAAGCTAAAATGAAACATTGCACTGTTCTTTGTAAAATCTCAATTACTGACAACCCCTTTACAACAATCATTTAAAGTACTTCTGGTCCTTGAAATTACAAAAATAATCTAAAACTGATATGAAAGAGCCTCTCCATCAACTATGTTACCTACTTTTCCTGCATTCTGGTTCAAGAGGTTAAGTCACAGCTTAAACATAATTAAGAAGACGGGTTTTTTTTGTTTTGTGTGTCAACATATGGCTCTTCAGGCTTGAGTTCTTTGATGCTCTGTATGGACAGTATGTACATGCATAAGGTTTCTCCCCAGAATGCTTACTGATGTGGATTCTCATGATGTTTTTCCGGGTTGCATAAGGGCAAAAGGGGCAGGAAAACGGTTTCTGTCCTGTATGGACATAGATGTGCTCCTTGAGGAGGTCGCTGCGGGTAGTATCATACGAGCAATAAGGGCATGTGAATGGTTTTCTCCTGTGTGTTTTAGGATATGCCTTTTAAGTATGTGAATGTAGACAGTGGTGTAGGCACAGTGGGGACATTTGGTGCACCTTGCTAGTGACGCAGAGACTTGCCACTCTTGTGATCTCCTTCTGTCATCTGTCCATTGATAGCTATCCTCCCGGTCCACCTGTTGATGAGGCTGTGTCTTACATTCCTTATAGAGATTTGTTCCAATGTGATAATCAAAAGGCAAATATTATCCAAAGTCTTCTAAATTATGGGCTTTCATTCAATTTTTCAGTGAAGGTTTGAAGTTCAAAATTCATTTTCCAAATTCATAATGTTTCCCTTAAAGAAATAAAACTATAAAGTGATGAGTTAAAAAACAATACTAATGGATATCTCTAACTATTAATAGAAAACTAAATAAAACAAAATAGGGAAAACATAATTACCAAGTGCAACTAATAAAATAAGCATTAGGTTATAACAAAAAAATATCAAACTAAAAACCATACTTCAATTATTTTGGAAGTATAAATAAAAAACTAGACAACATATAAATACAACACCAACAATTATAAAACAAATGATACAAATTACAGTTCCAAACACTTCAAACAGATTTTACAGCACAAAGCTTGAGAAAAAAGCAAAATAAAAGTCATTCATGAAAAAGCAGTAAAAGAGGAAAAGCGAGATAGTCAAGATGAGAAACGAGATTGGGATAAAAATCTAAAAAATACAAAAAAGAGAAGTAAAAATAATAATAACGATCACAATAATGAAAAAAATAATGATAATGACTATAAAAAATATACAAACAATGATGATAATAATGGGAATAATAATAAAAAAAAAAAAAAATCTTTTAATCAATAAATATGAACAGTCCTTTGGAAGGTAAATTTACATCTTTACCTGAATTTCTATGGGAGAAAAGATGAACCCTCCATCAGATGTTTTACGAAAATGCCAAGCAACAACAATGACACGAAAATGTCTTCTTCCCCTGGATAAGGTTTCTTTGTTATATGTATTATCAGACACAAAATCTTTTTGTTTTAATCATATTTCTAGTTTTAGATAGAAGACCCTATCTTGTGTGTTTGCATATGCCTGTTCAAGTTGGATTTCTGATAAGCACTATACGAGCATTATATTGCAGACATGGTTTTCCTCAAGAATGTTTACGAAGGTGGGACTTCAGCATATTCTTGTGAGAGGCTGTGTATGGGCAGTACGGACAAGGAAATGGCTTTTCCCCCGTATGTAATCGAAGGTGTTCCCTGAGGAGCTCCTTGCGAGTAGTACTGTATGAGCAGTATGTGCAAGAGTGAGGTTTCTCCCCTGTGTGTTTTAAATATGTCTGCGGAGCTTAAAAGGAATTGGGTACGCTGTAGGCACAATAAGGACACTGATGCAATTTTCTGGAGGAGGTTATGCCCTGCCAACCTTCGGTAGGTCGTCTAACATCAGTCCAGAGATGGTTGGAGTCCCACTCCACCTGTAGAGAAGGCTTTATCTTATTCTTTATCCTAATAGTAAGAAAAGTGTTCACATACTAATGATTCTGAATGAAACTCTATAGAAAACACACAAAGATTCATACACACACACACGCACAAAAAAGTTTCCATTAATTTCACTTCAGTACAATAATCAGTCACACACATGTCATGTTCAAAGCATAGAATTATTTGTAATTTATTCAGATACATCTACAGTTCATCATCAAACTGTATGATGGTATAATCATTCAACATTAATTCATCAGTCAATAAAGGCTCCAATTTCCAAGAAACTTCATAAACATGTTTTAAATCAAATGCAGTCTCAAGAATCTTAGTTTACAAAAATATTTGGTATAGCCAAGGTAAATACATAGTTTTTACATTATTAGTTAAATCCTCTGAAAATCTAGATATTTGTATGCACACAGCAAATACTTCATATCTCTCTCTCTCTCTCTCTCTCTCTCTCTCTCTCTCTCTCTCTCTCTCTCTCTCTCTCTCTCTCTCTCTCTCTCTCTCTCTCTCCTCTCTCTCTCTCTCTCCTCTCTCTCTCTTCCTCTCTCTCTCTCTCTCCTCTCTCTCTCTCTCTCTCTCTCTCTCTCTCTCTCTCTCTCTCTCTCTCTCTTCCTCTCTCTCTCTCTCCTCTCTCTCTCTCTCTCCTCTCTCTCTCTCCTCTCTCTCTCTCTCCTCTCTCTCTCTCTCTCTCTCTCTCTCTCTCTCTCTCTCCTCTCTCCTCTTCTCCTCTCTCTCTCTCTCTCCTCTCTCCTCTCTCTCTCCTCTCTCTCTCTCTCCTCTCTCTCTCTCTCTCTCTCCTCTCTCTCTCTCTCTCTCTCTCTCTCTCTCTCTCCTCTCTCTCTCTCTCCTCTCTCTCTCTTCTTCCTCTCTCTCTCTTCTCCTCTCTCTCTCTCTCTCCTCTCTCTCTCTCTCTCTCTCTCTCTCTCTCTCCTCTCTCTCTCTCTCCTCTCTCTCTCTCTCTCTCCTCTCTCTCTCTCTCTCTCCTCTCTCTCTCTCTCCTCTCTCCCTCTCTCTCTCTCTCTCTCTCTCTCTCTCTCTCTCTCCTCTCTCTCTCTCTCTCTCTCCTCTCTCTCCTCTCTCTCTCTCTCTCTCTCTCTCTAAACAACTAAACAAACAAACAAACACTCTCGCTTTCTTAATGATGACTTCTAAGTTGCTCTGTAAGGGCAGAATGTAAAAGTTGTAATGCTTTTCTCCTGTATGCCTATAAATGTGTACTTTCAGAATGCTCTTGTGTGAAGATCCATATGCACAGTAAGGGTATGCAAATGGTATCTCTAGTGTGGATATTTATGCCGATCAAGTAGTGCCTTTCAAGTGGTACTCTTAGTACAGTGGGCACAGGAGAATGGCTTCTCTCCAGTCTGCTTCTGGTTATGTCTCAACATTTTATTAAAAGATAATGTAACAGTCACAGTGGGGCACTGATGACTGCTAGCTGATGAAGTGAAGTACTGCCATTCTCCTGACCATCAATTCTCAGCACTCCACTGATTGTTATTCTTCATGCGCTTCTTACTTTTTATCAATATTGATAATGAATATTTATTTCCCCTTCACTGCAATAATTGAACTTTTTATATGGTTTCCTATGGCTTACTTTTCCTCGGAAGTGACATCTGTAGCTGTAATAGTTACTTTAGTGAGAGAACTGTTTCTGCAGAAGCCTGGAAGCAGTAAAATAGAATTAAGGTCTAACGAGCTACTATCATGAGACAAATAACATGCAGAATAAAATTTTCATATTAGGATACAAATAAACCTATTCTTATGAAGAGTTCAAACTTTTTTTAAAGAAAAAGTTCTCCAAGACAATTGTATGTTTCTTCTGTAAATTGTAATGGTCATAGAAATATTTTCTCAAAATTATTGTTTCTTTCCTAAATTCTTAAGCATAAATGATAAAAAAACCTAGAATAATAAATGGATATGAGTTTAATGGGGCAAGAGGAGAGAGGAAGAAGACATTGTAGAAAACAGAGGAGAGGGAGGGGAGAGGACAAGGATAACCAGAAAAATGTGGAGAAGAAAGCAGGAAGGTAAAAGAGGGAGAGACAGGAGACAAAAGCAAAAAAGTGAGAGGATAAAAAGGAGGAGGAGAAGGTGGGAGGAAAAAAGGATATTATATTCAGCTACTCATTCTCATGGATTCAAGACACTAAGTCACATATTGGTACCAGACATAAGTGAACAGAAAAACAAACATGAAAAGATATATATATATATAAAAAAAAAAAAAAAAAAAAAAAAAAAAAAAAAAACATGACAAAACTAAAATATAATTTTCTTTCCTCTGAAGGATGTGCTAAAGATGTAATGATTCATAAGCTTCAAGTAATATAAAATATTCTATTTCATGAGCAACTAATGGTAAATCCAAAAAGGAATATTCAAAATAAATGTTACATAACATCTTTATTATTAATACTACAAAACACCTACAGTTCTTACAGTAGAAAATATTTACAAAGTAGTATAATATATTTTGTGGGACTAGCCGCAGATTAATGAAATGTAATGAATTTAACAGAGAATGAAAGGACTGTGTACATTCACACACGCACACATATATACATATATCCAAAAATGGCCATCACTTATTTACAACTTTTGCATTTGAAATTTCAATTAGCTATCTAAATCTGATCAATACTTAATTAAGACTTTCATATTGGAGTATCTTTTGTGACATGATTTAACATGTGCACTTTCAAAGAAACCTTTTGTGTTGACTGAAACGGGCAATATGGACACATGAACCTCATCTCAGACGCATGCCTTCTCAAGTGAACATTTAGAGAACTCCTCTGGGAAGCAGTGTAAGAACAATGGGAACAGCTATAAGGTTTTTCCCCAGTGTGTAGATTAATGTGATCTTTGAGAAGCTCCTTTCTTGAAGCACTATAGGAACAATGGGGACAGGAAAAGGGTCTTTCCCCAGTGTGTTTAAGGGTGTGCCTCCTAAAATTGTAAGTATCGGTAGTACTGTAGGCACAGTGTGGACACTGATGCACCTTGCTCGAGGAGGTGAGGCCCTGCCATTCTCCTGCTGTTCTTCTTCCATCTGTCCATGGATAGCTAGCCTCTTGCTCCACCTGTAGAGGAGGCTTTATCTTACTTTTCATAATAGTGTAATTTTGTCAACTCTTAATCACACTCAGTTCATAAATTCTTTGTAAAACAATGCTAATTAATTAATAAAACTGATAATAACACAGTATAAAAAAGCAGATTAAACTGCTGAATGGTAGACAAAAATACTTCTATAATGCAGAAATTTAACACCACATATCAGACAGCCTTCACTGAATAATCCATGGAGATCTTTTAGAGCATAAAAAATCAATGGTAATGTAAATATCACTTTCAAAATTTTTATACAGCCATAAAAAGAAGGAAAAAAAATATATATATAGTAATGGTAATCAGGGATGACCTCTATCTGTCAAACAATTTTCATGATTTTCTTTCTTTGTTTTACATTCAACAGTTTCGCAGCAATATATCTTTAAAATGGGTTATAGAATACATACAAAGCCTGAAGCTTTTCCAACAGAATAGCCCCTAACATCCCAGAAAGTTTTCCATAAAATAAGACGAGAACACTAATTCATGACCCCAAAGCCAGTATTTTTGTGTTTGTACCATTTTCTTACAACAGACTAGCCATCAAGGTATTCTACTTCATACACTCAGAATTCCTAGTCACTTATTCATGTAAACAGAGAGGTATCCTATTTTTATAAAAGAGGTAATCAATACACAGTAAATTTCTATTTTCCTTTCCTCAGGGAATATGATGTCCTGCCTTATGAGTTAACACATGGCTATTCAACTTAGACTTCTGGAATGTTTTGAAAGGACAGTATGGGCATGTAAATGATCGTTCATTGGGAGAATGTCTCCTTATGTGAACATTTAAGCAACTTCTCTGAGACGCACTATATGGGCAATGGGGACAGTTATAAGGTTTCTCACCAGTATGGATATTAATGTGTTCCTTGAGAAGTTCTTTCCGAGTAGTGCCATAAGAACAATATGGGCAAGAGAAAGGTCTCTCTCCAGTATGCTTCAATATATGTCTACGCAACTTAAAGGAATCAAAAGTATTGTAGGCACAGTGCGGACATTGGTGCACCCTGCCCGAGGTGACAGGGGGGCTCTGCCATTCCCCTGCTGTTCTTCGTCCATCAGCCCAGTCAGAGTTTGTGTCCCGCTCCACCTGCAGAGGAGGCTTCATCTTACTTGTTATTGCAATGTAATAGTCATCTAATTTTCCTTCTTTTCCCCATGAGGACTTCACCAGTAAATTACTCACTATGAAAACAAGCTTTCAACAGATAAAACTAATTGAAAAAATAACAAGAAACAATAAAAAAATAAAATAAATAAAAAATAAATAAATAAATAATAATAATAATGAAGAGCAATCTACCAAGAGTGTAGATTGACGTAAAAAGTAAAACATTAGTGTTTCTGCGAGTGTGTGCATGTGGGTGTGTGTGAATGTGTGTGTATATGTGTGTGTACACAATTGAGTGCAAATGTGCGTAACTGTGTCTATATATGTGTATGTCTTATATCTGCATGACTATTCATGTTTTAAAAGTGTATGTATGTATGTAAGTGAATGTATGTAATCATATAAATCTTATATTTCTCTTAATATATATCACAGAAAATAAAATCAATTCTGTTTATTTCTTCCTACTTGTGCCACACAACTACCTTTCCAGTTTTGTTTGTTGAACAATACAAGACAACTAGTGGCTACATCTGTTGTATGGTATATACAATTAGTTGAAGAGTTTGTAGTTCCATTTAAATAATTTTTTGAAATAATCAAGTGCAATCAGGGTTGGGAAACAAAACTAAAAATAGCATAGCATTCGCTTAGGGCAATAATAAATCAGAAATTCAATAAAATGAGTTTTAAGCTACAATAATTCATGTAAAACAAACTTACTAATATGACTGGTTTCTGATAGTCAGAAATTGACCAAAGTTTTAAATTGCAGCTGTGTTTGTTTCTGTACTGTATTTCAGTATTCAACTGTGTAAAAACAATAATGTTAAAGGATCTCTTCACAGATCTAACAAAAGTTCTACTATATTATTTGGTAATTTGAGAAAGAATGAATATGCCAAAGTAATTACTCATAATTACATCCTATCAAGCAGTAAAAGATCCATTGACAATTTGTTTCACCAGACCTGTCATCTGTGTTTACATGTCACAGAATGCTTTCTCCAAAATCTGGAAAGACAGTTGTGTCTTTCATTTCAGACACACAAACACGTGCCTACAAATTCACCCATACACACACATTCAATATGACAAAAATCATTTTACTTGATAATTATGGATGTTCACTTTATAAGTTCTGTGTAACATATATATATACTTTTTTTTTTTTGTAAAATGAGTTTAAACTTATATGTTGTTTTTCTTTGGTTTCACTTCAATAAAATGGTTGAGATTAATACATTCAATAAGACTTAGGAAACCAAACAGAAAAAAGGAAAAATAAGAAGAAGAAGAAAAAGAAAAAAACAAACAAACTTAATTCTCAAACTAGTGGTTCCCAAACTATCTTATAATACACCCCCTTTCTGCTTCCAATAATTTATTTATTTATATCTTAACACTGTTTAAGAAAAAAAATTCTGCTTGGATTAAAACATATGAAACAAATATTACATGCACTAGGCATTTTACTAAGTACCTGAAGTTATGAATCAGCTAGTTATCAAAATGAACTTACAGTTCAAGGAACTAAAACAATTTGAAAACATGACATATAATATGGAAATACTCATGAGACTGAAATGAAGGAGAGCGAACTTCATAGAAAACAGGTTGGATGAATGACAGAATTGTACTTTGCAAGTATGTAATGGCATTGTTATTGGAATGATTTCATTATTCTCATTAAACAATGATCTTGTAGCCTTCTCATACCACCCTAGGGGTATGAGGAGGATACAAGGGGAGAATGCTCTATAGTTTTTTGAACCACTGCTCTACACCATACAGAACAATCTACAACTTTTTCGAATCTATCCATGAAATTGTCACACTGTGGTTCAAACTTCTGGTATTTGACAGAAATTACAAGATTACACTCCCATCAGCACATTTCACATTTCCCTCTTCCTCTCCCTTTCAGTGTAAATCTGAATCACTCATTTTATGGGTCAAAAGGTGATTATTCAAGTTTGATTTTTGGGCAGCACGATATGGGCAATGCACACATGCATAAGGCTTCTCTCCTGTATGTCGACGGATATGGACTTTCAAAATGTTCTTACGGGAAGAACTGTATGGACAATATGGACAAGTATAAGGCCTTTCTCCAGTGTGGATGTTGATGTGATCTTTTAAGAGCTCTTTTCTTGCAGCTCGGTATGAACAGTAGGGACACGAAAAAGGCTTCTCTCCTGTGTGCTTCAGAATATGTCTCTTCAGCTTATTAGATTCAGTTGTGTTGTAGGGGCAATGAGGACACTGGTGGCCACTGCTGGAGGAAGGGAGGCCCTGCCAAGCGCCTGTGCTGCCTCTTACTTCGTGCCACTGGCAGTTTGATTCCAGCTCCACCTGCAGAGGAGGTTCATCTTACTCTTGATTTTAAAAAGCAAAATGGACTCTTAATTCCCCTTCTGTCTTTTTTCACTCATATGTTATAAGTGATACCAAGACTGAATATTCTGTTTTTTAAATACATTTTCAGAAAAGTGAGGTGGAACATCTTGAGTATTATTAGCCCAAATACATAATTCCCCAATCCTTTTTTGAAAATACTACAGAAAAAAGAGGGAGGAGTAGGAAATGACAAAGAGGAAGAAAATGTCAAATCACAATATTTTGCCACAAAAAATAACTTGCCATGTATTTACACCAACTCTCTTGTTTGATAAACATATAATCAAAGGTAGCAGCTTGATGTTTACAATATTCATAAATGTTAAATAAACAAATTCACCCAAAATTTTCACATTTCCATCAAACATTTTATACATAAAAAGCAACCACTATTCAACTTGGGTCCTGAGTTATGAGAATTCCTCATTAAGGTGAGTCATCATATGGGCCTTTAACGTTGATTTCTAATTGCCCGATAAGAACAAATTGAAATGCATATGGTCTCTCCCAGTGTGTGTACGAATATGAGCCCTGAGAACATTCTTCTGCGTTAGCACTGTACGAACAGTGTGCACACTGAAAGGCCTCTCCCCTGTATGTGTCATTGTATTTCCTTTAACATATCTTTCCTTGCTGCCTTGTATGGGCAAATAGGACATACATATGCTTTTCTCCTGTTGTTTAAGCTGTGTCTCTTCAGAGAATATATACCCGTTGTGCTGAATTACAGTGATTGCATAATACACCCTGGTAGTGATGCCCTGTCCAGCTCCAGTGGGTGACTCATCAGTCCACTGGCTTACCTGCAGAGGAGGCTTCATCTTATTTCTTTGCATACATGTAACATATTCATGATAGTTTCCTAACTCCAAATCAGTATCTTTTACAGATCTGGTGACTTTAAAGCTTTCATCCATTCATGAAAAAGAAGAACACTTGGCTACATTCTACAATTAACATTTCAATGTAAAGATTGTGAATGTTTTCCAATTTTTGTTCTCTCTCACTCTTACTCTCCAAGTTTAAATGAAAGGTAAAGAATTACTTTTGAACAATCCACTATTTCTGAAAAGAAATGCTATGTGAACAAAATTTACAGCATGTTAATGCATCATAAAAATACAAAGAAGAAGAAGTCAAAAGTAAAGTACATCTTCAACTGACTCAAGATAATCAGCATTCTATATTCAGTAAAATAAGTAAGTGCATCATATAAACAGGCAAACCCATAATCAATCTAAAATGTGTTGTAAATTAAATATACTACAAATATTCCATACTGAAAGTAGGAATAACAATTTTACCATGATTGCAGCCAGTACTTAGGTGTCACATGTAAATGATATGTATAAATACTAAAAGATTTTCTTTAATAACACATTCATGGTCTACATTACATGTAACTGTATAAATTGCAAAAATGTATCTAAGGTTACCAATCATTCCTTTACATATGAGGCATTACAATTTTCTTACCACATGCTATTTTACTGGATAGCTTTGAAAGTTACTATGAGATGTAATATCTCTTTTTCTATGCGGATCATTTAATTTTCAAACATGCTATCCTGCTGGGCTTCAAATGCAACTCTGTTCTTATGTAATTGTGCCATCCATCTTGTTTTTTGCAAATGGGTATTCAAACATGACTTTTGGTGCACGGTAAGAACAATAAAAACAGGCATAGGGTTTTTCTCCAGTGTGCCTGCGTATGTGAATCTTCAGAATGTTCTTGTGCGATGATCGGTATTCACAAAAGGACAAGAATATGGCCTTTCCCCAGTATGCGTATTAATGTGCTCCCTCAAGAGAGCTTTTCTAGTAGTACTATAAGAACAGTACTGGCAAATAAATGGCTTCTCTCCAGTGTGAGTAAGAATATGCCTCTTGAGTGTTTGGCTAGCAGGAGTGGTGTATGTACAGTGAGGGCACTCAAAGATCTTCCTTTTGGGGGAGGTGAAGTCCTCCCAATCCCCTATGCTTCCTCTGCCATCAGTCCATTGATAGGTAGTCTCCCGCTCCACCTGTAGAGGAGGCTTTGTCTTATTCTTTATACTGGCGATCCCATGTCTTCTTTATTATCTTCTGTGGATGACTTATCTGGGTTCCCATAATCAACATCTATACTCAGATATCTTTTGCTTGAGGCATAGACATCCTTGAGATAAATGACTGACTGAATGCAACATGTCTGAATAATATAACTCTATTTCAAATAATTGTCAAGTACATCATTAGCTCTCTTCTTCATGATTAATTTTTAGTAATTATCTGACAACAATGGTGAGTATGTTCAAATTCCTGACAATCAATACTATTATGAAATAAATAAAAAGAACTACTTGAAACAAATGAGAAAATGCACAATCCTTGGCAACTTCCAGGATATATACAACTGTACAACTTCTCTAAAACCAGGGTTATCAAATTTATTTGAAGATAATCTTCTTCCTCAAAATAGAGAATAAGAGACCTACAACTTCAGGCATTTTGCATTTATATACATATCAGATTAATGAAATTCTGACCTTCATTCTCTGTTGCATGACAGATAATGGATAGGACACTTGAGTTACAAACAGTAATGTAACTTGTCAGAATACTTAAATAATAACTTCCTTTTTGACAAACAGTAATGTTTATTTTTTCGGGTATCTCGTATGTGGGAGACCAGTCGTTACTGGGTTAACCCCTATGATCCAGATGATGTGACCATCACATCATGAAAATATTGGACTTGAAGGGGCGGGTAAGATGAACATGCCATCATGGGAAAATTTTGCTGTGGGTTGGGATGACACGAACTCGTCGTCATGAGCATTTCAGCAGGAGGCTGGGGTGACGGGAATGATTCGCAAATAAGGCAAAAACCTCTTAGAAGGTTATCAGATTCGATGGGCATCTAAAAAGGAGCTTTTGCATTATTTCCATCAATGAACAAGTGTGGAATGTACTGTCTGTCAGCCATGACTGGAAGAGCACCAGCTTCTGGGAGGATGATAATTCTGTGCTTAGGATTATGTTCCTGGCAACCGTGACCAGTGGCACAGATTGTATTGCAGAAAACTGAATATCATAGAAAAAAAATTATACAAATAGCAAAATGTTACTTATTATTATCATTATTGGACCAAGGATAAAGAATATCAAATGACAAATATAGACATGTGACATACAGGATGTGAACCACATTCAATTTAGCAATGACGAATCAAAAACAAAGAAAAAGATTTTCCCATTTGTCATATGCTGCTTAACCCATTCGTCCCGGGTGTCACATATATGGGACACAGGGAAAAAATAAACAGTGTCGGGCTGCCCGCCAGTGCGATGCTGTCTCGGAGCCGTGCTCCGCGGCAGAAGCGGCGGCGGCGGCGGGCGGACAGACTCCGGGGAAGCTCCGCCCGCCGATTTTGTAGCTGCCCGGATTTTTTAAATTTTGGCTACAAAATGTACCCCGGCGCGGGTGGGTTAAGAAGAAACTGAAGAAAATCTTAAACCAGAGTTTCCCATTTTCTAATCATGCCAGTCCAGTAGATACTTGAGATTGACAGATGCAATCGGATAGCATATATAACTTTCTGAGAATGGTATAAGGACTAATGGCTCAACATACTGCCGACACATAAAACAAATTCTATGATGAACATATAGAATGGACATCCTTCCTGTAATGCGAACTGCCATTTCATATCATTTATTGTAAGAGTGGAGTAAATCACAGTTCAGACTAATCCCTGTGACTACAATAGGCTAATGCCCAGGTAATTTCTCTTAAACCATGCAAGAAAATATATAACCTCATATACATGACTGGGGTGGAAAATTACTTTCTTCCATGAATCAAATATTAAAACATCTCTCACACTCGAGTCGATTGCTTTCATATCAACACCCTGGCAATAATTGCCTCAGGATTATCATTTATTATTACCTAAAATAAAAATGCATTAGAAATTCACGAAGCTCTTTATATAAATAACATTTCCCAGACATTTTGGTCAGTTACACACTATTCGAAACCAGTGTTCTTGATGCAATAAAAATGTTTCCTACATCAGGTCACTCTCAAATATAGTGCCAATCCCCTTTCAATGCTATAAATTTGAAGCAACTATTTCTCTTGTGTATTTACCATTCCATCCATAGCAATGAAAAAATTTAATAATTACCCATCAATAACAAAAATACTAACCATAATAATAATAATGATGAAAATTAGCAACATCAAATAATCATAATTACTGAATAATAATCTTCAAAATCTAACTCGTTTCATCACACTTCTTGTGACTCATCAATTCCTTTCTAAAACAGGTGTGACAAGGGGAAGAACAGAACAGAAACCATGCTCACTGTTTATCTATTCAACACATTCTAATGCCTTGAAAATGTGATGATAAAACTCAAAAAGTCTCCTTTATTTTTGGTCTGCAAATATTTGTGCCCATTAACCTACTAGCTTCTATATCATATATAAACCCATGTGAAAATCCTTCAGATTCAACAAATGCAATGTAATATTTTAAATGACTGGTATATGCTGTAAAAATTTAGTAAAATTATCAACTACCTTAATTCAAAATTGACTAATCTGATTTTCATATATCATCTGGTATCTGGTATCTTCTCCTGCATTAAATTATTCATTCTTTATCTATTGATCTATATTGATCTATATGTTTTTCATTAATATGAAAACAAGTGATAAAAATTATGGTTGTCAAAGGACACTAAAAGAAAGAGACAAGAAAAGTATTAAGATAGTATACCATCTAAGTAAATAGAAGTAAAAAATTATAGACAACAAAAAATCATCAGTGACAATGAAAAATACTGCAAAATAATAATAATAATAATAATAACAATAATAATAACAACACCAGTAAGCCATAACAATAACAACAGCTACCAATATCTTATCAATGAACAACTAATATCAAAAGAATTAATTCATTCTTTTTGAATTTATCAATTTCTGTGAAAACATACATAGAACTCTAAAAATCCTCCCAGTATAGCCACATTTCACGAGAAAATCCTCTTAACTCACAACTAAGACTGATGATGTGAAAAGATGTGTCTTTGCAAGCTAAATTTCTGAGTCGCTCTGAAGGAGCAGTGATCACACGCATAGGGCCTCTCTCCACTGTGTGTATGGAAATGTCTTCTCAAGTTCTCTGGTTGGGTGGTTCGGAATGGACACTGAGAACATGCGAATGGTTTTTCTTTAGTATGCGTACGGATATGCTTCTTGAGGACTGGTGGTGTATGGGGTGACGTAAGGACAGTAGGGACACTGGTGCGTTGTCCTTTGTAGGCACAGTCTTGGCTCCTAGGACATCTCTTCTACTCATTCCCACCTGTTGGTGATGCTATCCTTAAGTACTTGATTGACAGGGCATCCATTAGAGTGTATGTAAGCGTATGATCTTAGTCTACCAAAAAAAGAAAAAAAATTTAGCTAGGAAATATACCATGTATCTCTACCCTTGCTGACAAAGAAAGAATAAAAACTGGATAAGAAATGAAAAATCAGTAATTGGTCTCTGGTAACATGTATGTTGCAACTCTTCAGTTCTGTTGATATTCAATAACTGTTTAATTACTGTAACATCATAATAATACACATTAGAACAATGCTATATTCCACAAACTTTTTTACGTTTCCTGTACCTAGATGAATTGTTTCTACTTTTAGCATTTGTGCATAATTATAGATTTCCATATAAAATCTATTCTTAAGCTATTCAAATTGT